TGCATGCTTATTCTTACTAGGCTATGATCACTGTACTGTTTGTGCTCTTTATATAACTCTGCATATGAACTGGCCTTGTGGCCCTTTGCTTGTGCTCGGACTGTGCGGTGACTTTGTGATCTACCCTTAGCTTGCTTTGCTTTTCTTGACTGGTCTTGTGACCACTTGTTCTCCCCCACTTTGCCTCTGGGGGTGTGTCAGAATGTTATATTGCTTACTTTGTTTACACTATAGTGGGGTAGCCATAAGGGGTACAACCCAATCAGGGTTATTACTTGTACCCAACTCTTTCATAGTTCATTCATTCTCGTTCATTCTTCTGACACGCCCGGCATCACGTGAGAGGCTTGAATCAGATGAGGTAAGAGGGAATGAGAGATGAGCGCACAGTCAATATGCGTGCTGGCCTGCTTGGCCTGAGAGAAGAAGGTTAACTCTCGCTTCTTCGGATACAGCGTTTGGAAAGCGTCGGATAACTGGAAACTGCCGCAGTGGGTGAAGAGCCTGTCATTCTCCGCAGTAGATCCGATGCATGATGACTTGTCTAACACCGGATCCTCTATGATGTTAAGGTCACCAATAATGAGCAGGTGACTGGATGGAGAGAGCCGGTCAACCACTGGACCAAGTGAGTCACGAAGGAACGTCACACGGGAAGTTGCGTTCGCCGGGAAGTAACAAGCGATGAGCGTAAGCTGCAGCCCAGGGCCATGAATCTCCGCGGATACTCATCTACTTGACGCATGAACAAAGACGTTATGGAAGCTAAGGGACGGAGACCTACAGAGAAAAGCTACACCACCGGCCTTGGATCTAGGTGAGGCCGCTGCTGCTTGAGAGTATGTTGGGTGAGACCAGAGCGAGTGATCTAAGGCTATCCTAGTGTCTGAGAGAACTATGATGTCTGTCGCTTGCCTGGACCAGTCTAAAACTCGTTGCTGCTTGGTTTTGTCACCAAGGCCATTGAAGTTAAGGCCCGCGAAGCTGATAAGACCCTTTTTACTCATTTAATAACAACTTGAGAACCCCTACGCATGCACAGGGTATAGGAAGGACCGACTACTACGAGGACTACTGGCGCTGATGCTGTTTGCCTGCCAAGCTGCACTTGCTTCAGATCCCATACTCCTTTGTTACGTTGAGGCTCGCCTTCTCGAGAGATGCGCAGGTGGCAGATCCAAGGACCTCTAGATGGATGAGGTGATTTGCGGAGGTGATGTGTTCGGCGGCCGTCATTAAGCTTTTCTCCTTTGCCTTGCCACAGCCCACTTGCGTGCACATCCACTCCTCCTGGTTCTCGCCAGTAGAGACCAGCACCATGGTCGGGTCCAGCAGAATGGGAGTAATCAACGGCAAGGCAGGTAGAGATGTGGCTGCACAGTACGACCAGATAGTTAGCACAAGAGCAAGGACAGTGGTAAGCACAAACAAGGTCAGGAAAACCGTTACCATTGATGCGATGCACCCTCCCTAAGGTAAGGTTCCACTTTCCTATGTTATTTTGTCGCTCTGTAGTGAAAGCATTGTGGTTGATGTCGTAATGCTGACCACCACAGAGCAGGCAAGATAGCGCAGGTAAGTGGACCAGATACCGGAGACCGATCTCCAGCGGATCCTGGAAAACGTGACGCCAGCGGTGCCTATCGCCGGGATGTGGGATCACTAGTCCTTTGATGACGTCAGTATCCGCTCCGGTGACGGGATGCAGGACACGGTGGAAGCAGAGGCCATCCTTGAATGCCAACTGCCTCCGATTCCGCAGCTGGTAAACCACCATCAGCTCCCGCAACATCTCCGGCGTCTTCGTTGTAGGTACGTCCCGAATCACAACTTCAATCGCATGCGGATTCGTCGCACGCTCTCGCACGAAAGCTGGATCATCAGTGTGCTGCTCATAGAGCTAAAAAACCGTGCCATTAGGACGCGCGTAATCCACCTCCTTGGATCTAATGCTCATGATGTTGTCTTCACGCAGGAGGGAGACCTGCAGGCAGCTGTAGCGAGTCTTCGCCACATACGCAGGCATGAGCTCCTGGAACTTCGCCGACTCGAACGCGCCGTCAGAAAGCTAAGATGACCAGACACGCTTCATCAGCATCCGCACCATGGTAATAACAGACGCCACCTCCAGCGCGAGAGCCACGGGGAGTAGTAGGATCGCCATGTGACGAACGCGGTTGAAGGCCTCGGTCTTGAATTCAACATCTAGCTCCTCATCAGAGTCATCCTCAATGAAGCCGCTATCAGGAACAGCCGTGCTGAGATAACAGAGCTTCTCTTCCTAGGAGAGGCCAGAGCCACTCGCAGGCGCATCAGAGAGAGACACACCGCCTGACTCATCAGGAACTTTGCCCTTGCCCTTGCTTGCAGAGTCACTAGGAGCAGGAGCAGGCGACGAGGTAGGAGCGTCTTGCGGCGTGGCCTCCGGCAGGACCTTGGCCTTCCCCTTAGGAGGCATTGTGCAATGATGAGAAGAAGAAGGCTGCGAGGCTGGAAATACAGACTGGTGAAGGCTGATTGTTATAGTCTAGAGTCCACTTAGGGGTCGCGGATGCCCTTGAAACCGCCTAAGTAGAATCTGATGACTTCGAACCGCCTCTGTTCAAAACGCCGTCACGATCCGCTCCGATAACATACGAAGCTGAAACTTGGAGAGACGTTAGCTTCAGGTGTCTGCTTTTCAAAGGTATATTGCTTGCTTTGATCAGAGGTGTATGCGCTACGCAGTGAACAAAAACGTAAGCTTGGCTGAAAACTTGTAGTTTCATTGATGCAAGGAAGAGGTGAGTACAACATTGCCTAGGGGACTCTTAAGGGGTTGGGACCATCCTGGGGACTCAGAGAAGGTTGAGTCCTAGGGGAGAAAGGCTAGAGAAGGATGGGAAACGTCCTATCTAGGTCAGCAAAGCCAACCACACTTGGATATTCAGAGCTGTACTCAAGGCTACCAATAGTGAGTCAAGCCAACCATGAGTCAGCTTGTCTTCCCACTTGCACCCTCTTCCAAGCTGCTTCTAGGAAGACCACACTTTTCAAAAGGAGGGTGGTAGAGTCCCACTTGACCACCTGTACTTCTTGTCTCATTCTCTGTCCCTGCACCATTGGCATGACAACAATGAAAGGGTGGCAAGGGAAATGCTGCCAACAGTGCACCATGACTACGGAAAAGTAAGTTTCGACAGCTGTCACGTGCTACTCCGATGCTGGGTTATCCTGAAACTCGGTGACCACCTGCACAACACGGCAAAGGACTGCCACACCGATTTTCAGACCAATCAGAGCTTGGTAGATGAGTCAGCAGCCGAAATGGTGAACTCGGGTGTTACCAAAAAAGAGTAACACACACTTCCGGGATGCCATAAGACTTGAAACTAAAAATGTTGCCATGCCTTGTAAACTGCTTCAAAAATTCTGAAACTTTGAGAGTCTCACGAACACATGTTGAAGCACCACCCCACAAAATTCCAGAAGCTGAGCGGGCTTGTAGGCTGAATGGGAGTGCGATGACCGTGCCACTATAGTGCTTTTGGCACAACACTGATCTGATGCCTTAACCCTGAGCACAGACTTGTTAAATAGGTAGAGACTTGAGGCATTAGACCAATGTTCCTGCTGTTGATGATGAGAAACCGAGGTTGAAGCCTCGGTATCATGATAGGCAATAGCTGAAATAGAAGCATTGTAACCATTGTCGGACCTCAAGCTATGTAAAACAGAAAGCCGAAACCTTGGAGTTAGCAGCAAGCCGAAAGGAACCTTGAAGTTAGCTGCCTGACATAAAACAGGATCTCGTTTAGCGAAGGGTTCAAGGTCCGACGTGTAGACATGAAATAAGTATCGCTCGCTGCGCCTTGTAACGAGGAACCCAGATCTGAAGTCTTTAAGGTCAACTGACGCGGAACCTTCACGGGATCTAGGCTTGAAGTTGCGCAGAGATATACATGGCGGACTCATGGCGACTGTGGTTTGCTGATACCGTATCGAGTCTTCAGGAACTGAAACATCAAACCAGGGAGCAGGAAAGTGATTTTGTAACCACAACCGGCAAATTGTGATTGGTTGGAAATCCAACCATTCAATCCTCACTTTGATGGTTTGGAATTTTTCCAAGCCTCAAGGTTGAGGTTTGGGAAAACCAAACCAGTCTTCCCTTCCAACCCAACCTTCCCGATTCCATTCGAGTCTTTCTCATCGAGCACTCTCTCGATGTTGACTTAGGAAATTAGCGGTAGTTAGGTATAGTATGTGTTACAGAGATCTCCTTAGCTGCTGGCAACTGTCCGATGACTTTCTCATTGCTAATCCATGAGTTGCTAGGTGTCACGCCGCAGCGCGATCGGTTGGCCTCCAATTCAATCGCTTCCGTAGATTTCTCGGTCGCTTGCTTTCACAGTTCGTTGACGCTGACGGAACGAAATCGAAGCGCTAGCAGTCTCGAGCATACCTTGGGTCGGAACCCTACATTCAGTCAACGAGAAGCAGTGCCGTGCTTCCGCAGGCAAATCGCTGGTTCATCCCTAAGCAGCGGCGAGCTTGACGGAAGTACGATCCGAATTCAGTTTAGGCTGCCAAAAAGCCCAAAATAGACTTGGTCCTAGATGAACGAGTCGCGAGAATCTCGTCCGGCTGTGTCGAACCTCGAGGCTATGCTTCGAGCATTTGTTTCGGACAGTTTGCCATTGGCTGCTCAACCCCTCCGTTCTTTCTCCTCCAATCACAACACAGAGCACGCCTTTCCCGTGATGAACTACTTTCGCTATGGGCAGCAGACCTCCTTTCCCCCGTCTACCCACCACCATTCCTTCTCTCCACCCGAGCTCTATCCACCATTCCGCCTTGGAGTTGTCGTGCATTCCCAACAATACAAAGCCACTCGTCATTCTCATCCATTCCACCACACCCGTTCGAGTTATTACTTGCTTCTGACAACTATCACCTGGTTTCAACTCCTAGTTCTCGATTCTTGAAATTTCCTTGCTACTTAGCCTCCCGCCCCTACAATGGCCGCGCGGAATGCTTCAGCTTTCCAGTTCACGAGCCCCTCAATCGACCACGAGTTTTGGAAGGACTTCAGCGAGGCGGATGGCACGTGGCTGTACGCGCCGCAGACGTCCTTGGACGTGGATCACGAGTTTTGGAAGGATTTCAGCGAGGAAGACTGCACGTGGCTGTCTGGCCCGCTGGGCTTCTCGATGGGCGAAGATTCGTCCATCGAGCACGCGTTCTGGGAGGACTACAGTGAAGCCGAGTAGAAGTGGCTGTACGTCCCCGGGATTTGTTTCTCTGAACCTGTTGTGACCCTCACGCTCGGAGCTGCACCTGCCGCTAGCAGCACTCTGACCAGCACCTGCATCCGCAGCAACGGCAGAGTGCTCCTGTGAAGAGTGCTCCTGTGAAGAGTGCTCTTGTGAAGAGTGCTCCTGTGAAGAGTGCTCTTGTGAAGAGTGCTCCTGTGAAGAGTGCTCCTGTGAAAAGTGCTCCTGTGAAGAGTGCTCCTGTGAAGAGTGCTCCTGTGAAGAGTGCTCCTGTGAAGAGTGCTCCTGTGAAGAGTGCTCCTGTGAAGAGTGCTCCTGTGAAGAGTGCTCCTGTGAAGAGTGCTCCTGTGAAGAGTGCTCCTGTGAAGAGTGCTCCTGTGAAGAGTGCTCCTGTGAAGAGTGCTCTTGTGAAGAGTGCTCCTGTGAAGAGTGCTCTTGTGAAGAGTGCTCCTGTGAAGAGTGCTCCTGTGAAAAGTGCTCCTGTGAAGAGTGCTCATGTGAAGAGTGCTCCTGTGAAGAGTGCTCCTGTGAAGAGTGCTCCTGTGAAGAGTGCTCCTGTGAAGGGTGCTCCTGTGAAGAGTGCTCATGTGAAGAGTGCTCCTGTGAAGAGTGCTCCTGTGAAGAGTGCTCCTGTGAAGAGTGCTCCTGTGAAGAGTGCTCCTGTGAAAAGTGCTCCTGTGAAGAGTGCTCCTGTGAAAAGTGCTCCTGTGAAAAGTGCTCCTGTGAAGAGTTCTCCTGTGAAGCCCGTGGTTTCAGCAGGCAAGGGAATGCGTGCATTTGCAGCAGCACCAGCCAAGGCTGTTGCTGTAAGAAGCGTTGATGTTAAGCCCGCAGCTGCAGCAGCTAAAAGAACGCCAGGCAAGGCCACACATGTGACGCTGGCAGGTGCTGTGAAGAGCGCTGCAGTCAAGATCGTTAAGCCTGCAGCTACAGCAGCTAAAGCAACGCCAGCCAAGGCCACACGTGTGACGCCTGCAGGTGCCATTAGTGTTGCTGCTAAGATCAGCCCAGCGGGATCGGTGGCAACAAAAGCGGCAGCAGAGGAGGTGAGGGAGCAGGGCAATGGGAGGACAGCACATACGGCGGTGCGTGCAACAACAGGGAATTGGGAGGGGTGGAGGCAGCAGGAGGACGAGCAGCAGGCGCGCCACACAGCACTCGCAACCCGGCTGCTCCAGCAGCAGCACTGGCGGCCACTTTCATTCCCAAACCACGCCCCGCAGCACCCAGTGGCATTCCCAAGCCACACAGCAAGGCACCCAAGGGAAGCAATGAACGGTGATGAAGCAGCAGAATTAGTAGCAGTAGCAGTTGTATAAGGCAGCAGATCCAGAGGCTTTCCAATGGGATGTGGAGGGAGGCGTGGTGCGGGTGGGATGAGCATGGCTGGTGGGGGCTGGTGGCAGGCGCATGGCTGGTGGGGGCTGGTGGCAGGCGCATGGCTGGTGGGGGCTGGTGGCAGGCGCATGGCTGGTGGGGGCTGGTGGCAGGCGCATGGCTGGTGGGGGCTGGTGGCAGGCGCATGGCTGGTGGGGGCTGGTGGCAGGCGCATGGCTGGTGGGGGCTGGTGGCAGGCGCATGGCTGGTGGGGGCTGGTGGCAGGCGCATGGCTGGTGGGGGCTGGTGGCAGGCGCATGGCTGGTGGGGGCTGGTGGCAGGCGCATGGCTGGTGGGGGCTGGTGGCAGGCGCATGGCTGGTGGGGGCTGGTGGCAGGCGCATGGCGGGACTTACCCCTTTTGGCACTCTGCTTGCAGGGTGTTGTGGGAGAGATGGTAGGAGAGGTGGAGGAATGTGGTCTGCTGGAGTGTGGTTTGTGGGGAGGCAGGTGGATAAGTTGAGTGTGGCGATGGATCTGCTGCTGCCAATTTCATGCTATTAGCTTAGAAGTAGCTTAGTTCATAGTGTTCCTAGCCTCTTGTAACTATTTCTATTGCATTGATGAGATGTGATTGCTTTCCCTTGTGCTAGCTGGTGTCGGGGGAAGGGATGCAAGAAAGTAGGAGTAGGGGAGTGTCGTACGGGTTTAAGTTGGGTGGTTCTTGGTTTCGATTTCCTTGCATCACCCCCATTTTCCCACCCTCATTTTTAAACAGTCACTGTACCGTGCCATTTTTCCACCATTATTTTCCCACTGTCATTTTGCCACTGTCACTTTCGCATTGTCATCCCCCAACAGTCGTATTACCATTGTTTTTTTTCCACATTTTTTCATTGCCAACATCCACCTTGCTCTTTTCATGATATCATCACGACATCATCATCCCACTACCACGCCATGTTCCGCTATCACCATCCAACTGCCATATTCCCACTATGCCATCTAACCGTTGTCACTTCTTACTGTCATTTTTCAATGTCACGAAAATCCCCATAATCCGTATCAGTAGGTCTTCTCATCACCTCTCTTCGCTCCCCCTCCCTTGCAGTGCATTTGATATACCCCAGTCAATCTCCGGACCTCACTCCTTTTCTCGCCCTCTATGTCATCCATTGCAACTTTTTCCTCTGCCTCCCCCCACTGCTACTCTCCAGTGTGAGCCTTCACAGACTCGCCCCATTCACGGGTCTACCATGCCAATATGCATCTCACATGCACTTTCCTCTCACCCAAGTGCTTGCTGCCTTCCTGCACAAGCCTGTGACGAGCCAATTTGTGCACCTAACTCGCTCTCCCTTGATTACCTTGCCACTTGTTCATGCTGCGTGCACACTTCCCAAGGCCATGGTGTGTGTGGTAGTGGAAGTGGCACTGCAAGCACACTTCAGTCACATTCCTCACTGTCAAGTTCCCCGTGCCCTTTCCATCACCATCCATTCTTATCCGTCCTCGGATGTGAGCTTTTGCCGAGGATTTCCATTCAGTTTTCCTCCTTTCTTCCCCGGTCAATTTCCCCGTTGCATTTTTGTTTCTCTGCTATGCATTCAGGCATGGATGCTTCATCCATGCCCTTCCCTTCACTCTGCTGCCTGCATGCATGGGTGCATCCCCTCCATCTGCCTCACCCACCCACTCCATTTGACTGCACCACATGCCATTTCCTAGTGCCCATGACTTTCTCATATCTCGCTTTGCTCATGTGTGCGTGATACACCTGCTTTCTTTTCCTGTGGCCGCACTGTGTGCACATCTTCCTTTTGTTACTGTCTTTCTATTATCGTTCCCCCATAGGGATTTTCCCACCTCTCGATCGTGCTCTTTTATTCCCAATTCCCATTCTCACAAAGATGCTCATATCCGTTATCATACTAACAGGCAAAATTCAAGTAAGAAAGTTTATGATGAGGTTTGAATTCCCATGTTTGCAGCCTAGTGTCTTGTTGCAATTTCTCTTGTATCTAGCAACCTATTGTCAATTTTCCTCTCAGGTTCGCAGTTGCTTGAGCCATCGTTGTTTGCAACGCATGCTATTGTCAGTTTTCACCTTCCGTATCAGTCTTTGCACCTTTGCATGAGCCATTGTCCAGTCCACTTTTCATTCCCATTCGTCCTGCAAGTCTCCCATTGCCAGTTTGCAATTACTTCCATCTGTCAATCATCTTCTCATTGCCTTTTCCAGTCGTTTGTCCTTCCTTCGCATTCATTGAGTCTTTTCATGTAGCCATTCTCCCAGTCGCCTTCCCATGATATTTTTCCTGCCACCTTCCCTCCGCCGCTTCCCCAAGATCCCATTTCCGTATGTTCCAGTCATCTATCCATTGGCATTTTCTGTTGATTTCCGAGCACCTGCCCATTGCCATTCCTCAGTCAATTTCCCATATGCCACTGCCTCCACCTTGCGATGTCTCCCCGTGCACGGGCCTAACAGACTCCGCCATGCACCTGCCCATCATCCCACTGCCCATCTCTCCGCCCCTAGCCACTCCAGCCTGTGCATGCCTGCCATGCACATGTGGTACCACAGAGGAACCAGTCCCACGCCTTCTCTCTCCTGCTACCTGCCATGGCCCACCCACCTCGCCCATCCTCTCTGCGTGCCCCACCCACGCTGCCCTCACCGTGCCTTCCTCCGCCATTCTCTCACTTCCTCTCATTGCAGCATGCCATTTCTTCCCTTTGTCGACTTTAACTTGTTTGCTTTCCTCTAGTCTTCCCAGTGTCAGGTTCCCTTGGTCTTTTCTCTGCAGCCCTCTCACTGTTTCTTGTCTTCCCATTGTCATGTTATTATTGTCATTATCTCACTGCATCATCCCATTATCATCTACACTTCGTCATGATTTCAGCATACTGCCATTGTCAGCATCTCATGATGATGTTCCCACTGCCATGCTCCCACTGCCATTTCCCATCTGCCCACGGTTATCATTTTTGCCCATTCTCATCCTCCCATCTTCACTCTTCCACTGCTCATACACCTCACTCCATCTTCCCGTTTTCTCCCCTATCCCTACTGTCATCTTGTCGCCATCACTCTTCCAGTGTCTGGGAATATATATCAATCTTAACTTCCCCAATGTCGAATTTCCACTGTCGTTTCCCTGATTGCAGCAGCATCTCACTACCTCCCTGTCATGCCCTCCATGCAACACATGGCCCCACCTGCGCCACTCCAATGTGCGTCAAGTCAACATTAAGCCTCATTGCAATTACAACGTGCCTCTCCATGACTGAATTGCCCCAGCCACTCGGCATTGCGTGTCCTCGTCCACTTTCACGCGACCTTCATATCACAGCTTGCGTGTGAATCTGATCAATGGTAATGTAGAATCCTGAATGCACGCCTTCTCATTCTAGGCATAGACCTACATACTGCTTGGCAGAAGTTCAAGGAACTATATGGTCAACTTTTGTAATGTGTGCTGGTAGAAGTCTTTATTCGTTTGTTTTCAAACCTTGCACTTGCGTTGCACCTGTAGTTTGTTATTTTGGTCTAAAGAGTGAGTATATTTTGGCTGCCCCATGCCCCTCCGGGCCTACCCCACTTCATTGTGCCACAGGGCTAGTTGTGTAGGCAGCAGCAGCATACGTAATGTAACCGTGCTGCACCGTTGCGTGGCCTTAGCGAAACTGATGGCATGGTTGGCAGGCCGTAAACTTTATGGGTTGCTGGGTGGTGACAAAAGATGCGTGCGCTGTGCTGATGATTGCGATCAAATTACAGAGTACATGGGTGACAAGTACTGACACCGAATAAACTGGATGTTTGGACCCATAATTTTTTCATTTAACAACTTTTGGTGTGTGCAACGACTTGTTCGTATGCCTTCATTGTTATTCAATGTGCGTTTAACTGTAAGCACTTCAAATCGTTACCTGCAGGACTCCAAGAATCAAACAAGGGTTCAAATTGCATGTAAAATTGGAAAGAAAACTAGATAGCTATGGTGTGGTAATGTTATGAGTTGTAAAGGAGAGTGCGCAGTTTAACGAATAACGAGATTATGAAGGCATACGCTGATGTGTCAAAATGTTAAAATGTTTACATTGTTTAGGCTGTAGTGGGGTAGCCCATATGGGGTACAACCCAATTAGGGTTAGTACTGTTAGAATAGTATGAAGGTGTGAGTGTGGATTAGGGCAAGGAGGGGGGTACAAAAGAAGTGTCGAGCAAAATTCTGTACCCCCTAAGACTAAACCCACTACAGCCTAGATAACATTAAACATATAATTTGACAAGTACTTGTACCCAACTCATTCATAGTTCATTCATTCTCGTTCACTGCCCGCTTCCGGCCTCCCCGCAGCAAAATGGGGTTGCTGAGCGCCGCATTGGCTTAGTCATGGAGGTTGCTCGTACCTCCATGATCCATGCGGCTGCTCCCCATTCTTTTGGCCTTTTGCGGTCTGGTACGCTGCGCATCAGCTCAACCTCTGGCCCCGTGTCTCCTTGCTGGAGACCTCGCCTACACTGCGTTGGACAGGGAAGGTTGGCGATGCGTCGGTGTTCCGGGTCTGGGGCTCTCGTGCCTTTGACCGCGATACTTCCGCGGACAAGCTCTCCTCCCGCGCTATTCCCTACGTCTTCCTTAGCTTTCCCCTTGACGCGCATGGCTGGCAGTTTTACCACCCCACCTCGCGTCGTGTCCTCCCCTCTCAGGATGTCACGTTTGACGAGTCGGTTCCCTTTTACCGTCTCTTCCCCTACCGCACCGCCCCCTTCCCCCCCCCCCCCCGCCGCTCTTCCTCGCTCCAGGTCCCCCTCCGGTAGACCCCCTCCCCCCTCGGGTTCCTGCTCCCTCAGGTGTGTCTCAAGTAGACCCACTCCCCCTGGCTGAGCTTATTGAGGTCGCTGTAGACTCGGGTGCTGCTAGAGGTGCTGCGTCTGGGGGTGTTGAGCCTGCGAGTGCGGAGCCTGGGGGTACTGAGCCTGAGGGTGCAGAGCCTGGGGGTACTGAGTCTGAGGGTGCGGAGTCTAGGGGTGCTGAGCCTAGGGGTACTGCGTCTGCTGGAGGTCCTGCGGGTGCCTCGCCACGACTGTCTCCCCGGCGTGAGCCTCTCTCACCGCACCGGTTGCGCGAGTGGTTTGCTCAGCGCACACGCCTTAGGAGTGGAGCTGCAGGAGCTAGAGGCTCTGCCGCTGGAGGCACTAGAGCTGGAGGTGCTGGAGCTTCTGGTCTTGGAGGTGCTGGAGTTACTGCTGGAGCTGGAGGTACCGGAGGTGCTGGAGCTGCTGGTCTTGGAGGGGCTCATACTAGAGGTACTGGAGCTGCCGGACCTGGTGGTGTTGGAGGCGCTGGAGCTGGAGACCCTGGAACTAGAGACCCTAAAGCTGGAGGCACTGTCGCTGGAGGCGTTGGAGCTGGAGAAGCTGGAGCTGGAGACCCTGGCGCTGGAGGCGCTGGAGCTGGAGGCATTCGCGCTGGAGGCGCTGGAGCTGGAGGCGCAGGAGCTGGAGACTCTGGAGCTGGAGGCACTAGCGCTATAGGCACAAGAGCTGGAGGAGCTGGAGCTGGAGACCCTAGCGCTGGAGGCGCTGGAGCTGGAGGCACTGGAGCTGGAGGCCCTGGAGCTAGAGGCACTGGAGCTGTCAACCCTGGAGCTGGAGGTGCTGGCGCTGGGGGTGCTGGAGCTGGCGGTACTGGTGCTGGAGGCACTGTGCAGCGGCGACCGTTTTTCGTTCCACCACCATCGTCGTCTCTGCCGCCACCTGACTCGGTCCTTCGTTAGGTTCTTAGTCTCCCATATTCTACTGACCTTCCTCCTAGCTTACTAAGTCCACCGCCTCACCCATCGCAACCACAGCTACAGCCAGACTCCCCACTGCCTGCTCCTTCTCCTTACGCTGAGCAGACAGACTCTCTTACAGAGCGTCGTGAGCCTGAGTCTCGTCCTGCCTCGCCTGTTCGTGCTGTTCGCACTGGTCGTCGTCCGCGTCCTCCTCCTGTCCCCGGCACTCACATTATGGCACTTCGTCCTTCCTCTGTTCCATTGCGAGTTCCCCTCCCGCCTCCTCCTGCGTCCTCTCTTCCTGACGTTCCTGACCCTGAGTTTGACTTAGCTGCCAGTCCTACTGTCCCTCGTCTTCTAGCCACTGTTGTCACTGACCCTTCGTTTGAGTCCACTGTTGCATCTACCCTAGTTGGTGAGCTTGTTGACTTTGCTGCCGCCTGTCGGCTCGACTACGCCACTAGTCTTGTTGATGAGTCTGAGTCTGACTGTCCTCCGTCCGTCGGGGGTGAGTGTGCTCTTGGCACGAACGTCCTTGAGGACAGACATGAGGACTTTGAGTGTCTTGCAGCTGCTGTACCTCATCTTGTGGCCATGCTGCTTGCATCTGAGGGAGACCCAGATGCACCAGACATCCCGACCCCGCGCTCTTACACAGGGGCGATTACGGGTCCCTACTCCTGTCAGTGGCAGATAGCAATGGACGCAGAGATGGCATCCTGGAAGTCCACAGTCACCTACGTCAACGCAGTTCCCCCTTCTGGGGCGAACATAGTCGATGGCATGTGGATTTTCAGGGTGAAGCGGCCGCCGGGTTCTCCACCTGTCTTCAAGGCTCGTTACGTTGCACGAGGCTTCAGCCAGCGATAGGGAGTTGACTTCTTCCAGACCTTCTTCCCTACCCCGAAGATGACCATGTTAGAATACTAAGGAAGACG